CATTTAATGCATTTGCTACTTCAAATATGTTTGGCTATTCCATGCTTTCATCTTCATCGATTTTGATACTCAATTTCTCATGTCTAATCAATTTCCTTACTTGTGGCTGTAAATTTGTACGTACCTCAATATCTTTTTGACTTTGTTGATCCTCCTTTAGAGTTTTCTGGTCCACATCATTTTGCCAAGAATTTTGTGTCGTTCTTACAAGTTCTTCTTCATCCCTTGACATTTGTAGATATTTAGATTCCTTAGGACTTCGTTGTTGGGCTCTTATAATTTCTTTTTGCAATTTGTTTTCCATTTCTTTTGAATCTAGCAGCTCCCCTCTGCGGTGTCTGTCAGGAATATGTTTCTTCAAACACTTCTTTCGAGTCTTGTAGTTTCTCCCTCCGCGGAGTCCACCAAGTAGACTCTTCATGAATCACGATATCCTCTCCTGAACCATCGATCCAATCATCTTCGCAGTCCATTTGTTCAGGAAGAACCACAACTAATGGTGATTCATCATTTATATTCTAATTGATTTTCTTTTCTCGAGCCTTTTCAATTACTGTTGTGGATGCCACAACATCCCATTCTTCTTCACTATCATATTTCTCTTGCTCGTTGGAGGTTTCTATATTGCCTTCTACTAGCTCATTTTTAAACCAACAGTTTCTAGCATAATGGCCTAGTTTTTCACATACAAAACACGAGCCATTAGTTCGTTGATATCCTAAGACTCTTTTATCGCGATTTTGTTTGGCTCTCCTTGTCACAGAACCTTCTCCATGTTTATTTTCTTTTAATTTCTTATTATTTTGTTGACTGTATCGACCTCTTCTTTTATAATTAAATAAAGTTTCTTCATCTTCTTTCTTTATTGAGACCCCTAGCATTTGTTTAGTTAATGTTTCTTGGTCGACCAGCAAATTTAGAGATTGACCAATGAAGGTTGTTCTGGCCAACCTTGTATGGCAGTAATGAATCCTTTAAATTCGGGTCTCAAATTATGTATAATTATTCTTCTCATTCTAGACTTCGAAATCTTACTTGAAGAATCTAATTCTGAAATTTCGCGACAAAGAGATTTAATTTTATTAAAATATTGACTCACCGTTTGTTCTCCTTGGGTGATCGAGAGTAGCTCATTTTCCAGCAATTGTAACCTCAAATTATTTTTCTTTGAAAATAGAGCGGCTAGAGTGTCACACGCTTCCTTTGGTGTAGTCTTGTCTCTTATATGCTCCAACAATTCTTCCTCAATTGTCATCTTTATAACAAACATGGCCTTACCTGCTTTAATTCTCAATTTCTTCAGAGCTCCGATCTACTCTGGTGGCATCACGTCATTTCCACCAACAACTTCCCACAAATCTTGCCCTTTAGATACGACTCCATACAAGTTTGCCATGTGGTGTAGTTCTGATTATTGAGCTTCTTTACTCCGTCTACCACTTGTAGGTTATCTATCATGACTTGATTTACCTCCTCGTAATCAAGCAAGCTTTTACAAAAACTTTACAATCTCCTTTTGTGCACGATTTCAAGAAGCCGAAAAAATTTGTCCCCAACCGCCTAGCTCTGATACCAAATTGTTAAGTTTAAAGGCCAAACGAAAATGATTTTATTAACAAAAATATTTTCTTTACAAACCAAACACACACCTCACACTTTCTCTCTTGCACACTCATTCTCTTTGCACTCTTTCACTTACACACTCAAATACACTACTAATGTAATGAACGCACGCACACACACACACACACACACACATATATAGACATTGGATTCTTCTACACAAAGGTTGGTGATTCTAGATAATTCCATAAATTAATTATAAGGAATTCTCATGGACTCTAGAATAGTGGCGGTGTATGGATTCTTTTAGGTTTCTCTAGTTGGTTGCATAAGGAAAGATTTAGAAAATTGGTGATGATTCTTCAATTCTCCCCTTCAGCGCCAACTTTTCATTTTTAACTCTTTTCTTTTTCGTTACGTGCTTGAAACTCAACAAGTTTTGAAGCGTTCCGTCTTCCATTTAATGCATTTGCTACTTCAAATATGTTTGGCTCTTCCATGCTTTCATCTTCATCGATTTTGATACTCAATAACTTCCTTCACCATGTAAGCCAAACAAAGTAAGATGCAAGGGGCAGTGCATAATACAAGTTGCAGTGGCCATATATAGCTGGAATGGGTAGTCGAAAAATTCAAAATTCAAGTCAAAGCTGAATTTGATTTTTCCAGAACTTTGCCCAACATGGATAATGGACAGCTCCCTGAAATTTCCTGTGATATTCTGATATTTCCAAACCGGTAAAGATAGTTAAATTCAAATTTTCAAAATGGGGAGGGAGAAAATTTTAATTCTTTCCCGAAATGGATAATTCCAGCACCAAGAACACATGAATCTGTACGAAATTTCCAAGTAATCTACTGCCTGAAATCGAGTTTTGCCAAGGATGGGCCACAAAAATTCGAATCGATCACAAGAAGCAATCGAAAATCAGTGAGCAGGGGCTTGAATCTTCTAGCGTACATTAACTTGGATCTTCAAGAGTGCATTAAACCTTCTGGACAGGTTTCAGCTCGTGCATTTTCAACATACCCAGTGGTGTTCTCAGGATCCCTATTGTTGTGCTTAGCACGGTCGATGCCTTGGTTGGGAAGTTGCTGATATTGGCTCCTGGTTCTCTTTCCCACTGAAATGTAAAAGATCTACGCCACCGGCATCTTCTTTTATTTCTATGCACGTAGTGTGTCGTCTCTTCATGTATTTCACTTCTCGATGATGAACTAAGCGAAAGTCATCCAAAGTACTGGCTGTTAATCGGCTTCTGCTGTACTAAAATATGCTTCATCATTTCATCTGTTCATTTCTCTTTAATTTCCTATGAATGAGGCTTCCTTTTTAAGATAACCATAAAGAGATTAATCTCTTATTGCATATCCAAACAATAAAGAAAATGTAATATTGATGGTGGCTTCGAACTTCAATGTTTTTCACTAACCACAACTAGGATGACAAATTTATTGATACAAAAAAATAATATACAAATATAGAGAGTCGAGTCGTATGCAATTTTTATAAAATATGAACGTTCTGATCAATAAACAAGAAGCATCAGTGAGGGGTAAAAACAACCTATTCAAACTTATGATAATATTACTACTGTAAAAACTTTTAATGAAGAAAAAGGAGGTGCCATTATGAACCACAAATAGCGTCTTAAGATTGTAGGTGAGATATCTCCAAGCAGCACCACTAAAGTCTTCAAAACCACAAGAAAGGAGAAGGATATAGTAGATTCTCAAACAACCAGGAACAACCTCGTACAATCCTGAATAATGAAGAACCCGGCTTCAAGGCATATATTTGCACTTTCCTTAAGACGCTATTTGTCCCTACCAATCCAGTGATGTACTCAAGACACAAATACTCCTCCACAATACAATAAAGTCATCACGTTGTCAATGTTGTGCATCCACAAAGACAAGCCGAACACCAAGAATTAATTTTGTCTATTCTTGAGGTCTATTAGCGGTGTCAATGGGCCGAGCCAAACCGACTTGGCCCATGTACCCACAAGCTCGTTCTCGGCTCGTGCTCAAGGGCCGAGCTTGCGAGCTCACGAGCCGAGTCGACGAGCTCGAATTTTTTTTTTACTAGCCCACGAGCTCAGCGGCCAAGCTCCACTAGGGCTCAAGCTCGTCCCGAAATGAGCCCAAGCCGTCCATGGGCTTTGCTTCAACGAGCCAAGCCGATGAGCTACTCGGCTCTTTTACCACCCTTAGGCTTATACTGCTTTTCAAGAATGACAAAAGTATAAACAAGTTTGTGTAAGAAAAAAGATTCAAGTGATTCCTTTATAATGCAAGAAAATCAAGGGAATAAATGACATTATCCTTGCATATGTCAACATAAATTTTCAAGTATATATCAATCAACAAATCACCAATCTTATTTATAGATGGTCAAGTAATGCGGTACCGAAAGTTACACTTACTCACAAGAGTCACGACACTTCATATTTACAGTTGCATAATCGATTTCATGTGAAAAGAGGTGAGAAAATCGGAGAAAACTGAATAGGTACATAAGCAAATGTTCTAGCATAGATTGGGGCCGACTGCCCCATGCATGTGAGCGGCCACCCCAGGCCCCCTTGGGCGGCCACCTCCAAGCATGCAGGTCTGCGGCCTGGCCGCCTACAAGCTCTGGAAGGTTGGCTTCTCCATTGTCCATTATCCCGAACCTCTCTCGGATGATTTCATGACTCATGCAAACTCTTTTAAGCATTCAATAATGTCAAAAATTGACATTATTTTGAAAATGTTTTAACAAATGGTACATATATACACCAAATACAATTCAAGAAAACTCCTTTGGAATAGAAATTTCTCATCATAATATTGTGTCCCTCACTTGTAGGGAAACAACACACAGTTGAGAAAAGTCCCCAGTTCAATTAACTTGATAGTAACCACTTGAGTTGAAAAACAAGATTTTAATAAATATATCTTCTCTAACAGTTTAAACTTTTAGGTCTAGTAGTCCAATACCACCTGATAGGATAATTTGATGATGAGAACTTGTTATAGTCATTAAGTGGTCCTACAACATGGTTTTTGGGGCCACAGTGGGTAGCCTGCCTTCATAAGCTTTATGTTGGCAACTGGTAGAACCAACCTCGTTTCTTTCCAAATGAGAGGTTGTTATTAGCTGATTTCTTGAAAGCATTTTTGGATTTGAACACAAAAGATAATAGTGGTTGAGTTTTTAAGTAAACCCTCAAGATCAACTACCCACCCAATCAAGCCAAGAAAAGGCTTCCCAGTGCTTTTCGTGGGGTTCCACCCTTCATAAACTACAATGAAGTGTACACTACATCAATCATATATAAATGCTTGCTTATTCAATCAAATTACTTTCACTTGTATTTGCCAAAATAAATTCAGGCCTCTTGTTGCTGTAAGATTACCATTTTTTTCTGGACATTTGCAAAATTCGTTGATTATGCTTTTCTCTCAGAAGAGTTTTTCATTCTATTTTGGGACGCGAGTGATTGAAGCTGGAGAAGCAGGGCACATGCCAGATTACTGAAATCCTGATCTAAGAATTTGGCATGTGCCCCGACTCTCCAGCTACGGCCCTCTCCCATGGAAATACGGGCACCAGCTAAGAGATCGCAAGCAGAGGCAATAGAGTGCTACAAGTAAGCTACTCAGAAATTAGTATGCATGCTAATCATTCACAGTTCAATAAGTATTCCATCAATGAGAGTACATCTGCATTTGCATGCTTTTGTTCTATGCATTTACAGGTTGGCATCTTGGTAAATTTCTCCAAAGAATTGTTAGCTTTCACTATGTGTCATAGGTCGAGAACTAGCTTCATTAATTTATTATCAAATTTTCTCATAAAGGAGTAACTTCTAATTTATAGAACGAAAGAGGAAGAAGTTAAGAAAAACCAACCAGTACATATGGACTAATCTAATCTTCTAGTAAACTGTGCATTTCCTTGAACAAGAACATAACAATGTAAAATGTCCATCCTTTAAGGACTTCATTCTTCTTATATCCACAAACTTTATTCACAGATACATTATCTACGAAGATGATCGGCCACTTATCATCTGAAAAGTGGCAATAGATTAAGCTGATCATAAAATAAAAAGAAAGCAAATGAATAAATTACTTATAGTTTAGATTTCTTGAGCAAAAGAAACATATACCAGTCCATTCTTGCCGAATCGCTGCATCAGACCGGCTTTCTATTTTCCAATGCTAGTGCTGCTGAATCCACATGAGCAAGTAAACTAGCATAAACCTTTTGCTTCAAGCTATCAACAGTCTCGAGCATCTCATTTTTCTCTGAGCTCAACTTGCTTCTCAGTTTATCTAACCAGTCATTTGCCTGCTTCAGCTGTGACAATGCGGTAGCAATCTGGTTGTTTGATTCAATAAAACGTCCAAAGCTCTCCTTCCTTTTCTTTTCCTGATAATCCAACTGGAAGCCATTATCAAGTGCTTCGTCTAAGAATTTGAGAAACCAGGACTGTGATTCACGTAGAAGAATTTCCCTAAATTCCTTAATTTCTGTGGAACCGCCTCCCTTTGACCATTCTAATTTATCAGCCCCGCTTAGCTCCACTGAGGGCTTTGGAGTTCTTGTCATACTGCTCACATGTAAGGAACCTGATTTTCTGTCGGATTTGTCTTTATCTTCCAATGATAAGTTTACTGAGAAATTATCTGACACATCCTTTGTTAGAATTGTAATGTCTGCTTTTTCTATAATTCGGTAGAGTGTAAAGAACTTGGTAAGGTAGATATGGGGGTTTTCAGGTGAGGCAGATGAACAAAGATCGGCAAACATGCTGAAAAACCAGAGAAGAAAGGAAGATAAGAAGAAAATTTATGGCTCAAATCCAGCTCTTTTAGCGTGTAATCAAAAGTTATGAATATGTTGCTTAAACATGCATGACGAATAGATGACATATTTAAATCAATCTCTTAACTTACCTGAGGCACTTGACAAGATTTGCTGATGCAATTGCTTCTTTTTGAACTTCCGCCAATACCAAAAAAGCTAAGTTTCTCCTTCTAATCATTCCCTAGTAATGTTAATGGCCAATGACGAATATAAATACATTGATATATTAAGTCAATGCCGTAGATATATTTATTAACTGTTTCAGTGCTTGATATATATGCAAGATCGATGGTCAAAATTAACATAATGTCATAATGAGATTACGTAAATCTAATAAACCAATGTTTTTCCCCTTCAGATGTTAGAACGTACTATCAAGTATCAACAATTGAATGTTCTTGGGAGGCATAAGAATGACTATGCAGTTGCACCATTGTATTAGTTCTAAAATTGAGAACAGGTAATTCAATGAGTTGATATTTGAATTATTAGAGTATTGGGTATTTTCAGAGATGCTCAAGGCAAGAAATGTACCTTTCCAGGTTTAAGAAGATTGACTGGCAATTTGGGCCAGGATATTGCCTCAGGAGATTGCTTTTTGTTGCTACTATTTGACCAAAAATTCATGTCGATGCTTTCTTGTTTGGATGTGCATTCCACTGCTTGCAATTTTGAAGATGTCCGGGCCACCATGGGTTTTAAAGCATCTATATCTGAATTATGTGTTGATGCATCAGGACGAATATGGGAAGGACTTGATGGTCGTGCCTGTAATGCAATATTAGAAGTTCTCAACTGGCTTGGATTTCTTAAGCCAAAAGAATTCACATAAGTGTTATTGCACCTATTTGCATGCTTTATCCACCTCTAGACATTGGAAATTCATTTCTGTTACAATCCGTTGGAATCTTGCAGCCCACAGGAAGAATAGGGTATGCAAATTTTGCACTTATTAGCAGAAACATTACTTGGCAAGTTAATGAAGAAAAGGAAGGAAGCCAGACAGTTTGCACACAAAAGAATTCCCAGTCATTTACAAGCAACCAAACCACGTTAAAGTCAGTCAAGACAACCGAAATTGATTCAGCCAAGATTCATCCCTCATCAAATCAATTTCATGGAAAGCCAATCAAGTCAGCCAAGATGTTTTCCAATCCCGTCCAGCAATTATGTTAATCATGGATTTCACCAGTCATTTACATACCTGATATAGATTGGAATTATGTCCAGCAATTATGTTAATCAAGGATTTCATCAATCATTTACATACCTGATATAGATTGGAATTTGAGTCTGTTAGGAAGTGCCAAAAATAGAGAAAGATTGTAATATCTCTGCAACACAGAGAACTAGTATAAATTCACACACTTGCATAGTATCCAGCATATTGAGCTGAGACTCTTAAACCTTCATTTTCTTCTTGGTATCAGAGCCTACCACAGGATCGATGTGGGCCCACACTACTTACCCCGTGACAATGACTAGAAAAATTACTGGCCTGCACGTGAAGGAGGGTGTTGGAAATAAATCCCACATCGCCTGTGGACAATGTCTTGGGCCAGTTTATAAACAATGTGGCAAACCTCTCTT